CACGGGCGGCCTGGACACGCAGGGACAGCGCCTGCGGGGACATGGGGACATTGGGGACATTGGGGACGTTGGAGACATGGGGACATGGGGGCATTGGGGACATTGGGGACATGGGGGACACGGTGCCCACAGCGCCCAGCGCCTCCAGTGCCACCGCCGTGGCCTGGGCACGGGCGGCCTGGACACGCAGGGACAGCGCCTGCGGGGACATGGGGACATTGGGGACATTGGGGACGTTGGAGACATGGGGACATTGGGGACATGGGGACATTGGGGACATGGGGGACACGCAGGGACAGTGCCTAGGGGACACTGGACACACAGGGGATGTTGGGGACATGGGGATGGCCGTATGTGGGGAGGGGACCATGGGGACACAGAGGGGACACTGGGGACATGGAGGGCACCAGAGGGAGTAGGGGCAGGGAGGCAACAGTGGGGACACGGAGGGGACAGTAGGAGGCCACCACGGGGAGCATGGAGGGGACAACAGGGACCAGGGCACCCGGTGGCCCCCATGGGACACCCAGTGGCCCCTAAGGACCCATGAAGGGGACAACGGGGACCAGGACACCCAGCAGTCCCCATAGGACACCCGGTGACCCCCACGGACACAGGAAGGGGACAACAGGGACCAGGGCACCCAGTGGCCCCATAGGGCACCCAGTGGCCCCCAGGGACACAGGAAGGGGACAATGGGGACTAGGGCATCCAGTGGCCCCACGGGACACCCAGTGGCTCCCAGGGACACATGAAGGGGACAACGGGGACCGCGACACCCGGTGGCCCCCATGGGACACTTGGTGGCCCCCAGGGACACAGGAAGGGGACAACGGGGACCAGGGCACCCGGTGGCCCCCATGAGACACCGGCAGGGGCCAAGGGCCCCGGTGTCCCCGGGGTCCCTGTGGCGGTACCTGCTTGTGGCGGCCGAGGGCGCTGGACGGCAGCAGCAGCAGCGGCAGCGCGAGGCCGGTGGCCAGCGCCAGGCGGGGCCCGCGGGCGGCCATGGCGGCCACGAGCCCCGCGCCGCGCGCCCCGTACCACAGCAGCAGGGACAGCGGCGCGGCCAGCGCCGCCAGCGCCGCCTCCGCGTCACCCAGCCGCGCGGTGACGGTGCCTGTGTGCAGGGGACACGGTGACAAAGTGACCTCCTTGTGTCACCGAGCCGCGTGGTGACGGTGCCTGTGTGCAGGGGACATGGTGACAATGTGACCCCCTTGTGTCACCGAGCCACACGTGATGGTGCCTGTGTATAGGGGACACGGTGACAATGTGACCCCCCTGTGCCACTGAGCCGCGCAGTGACGGTGCCTATGTGTAGGG